ATATCATCAGAAATTAGGGATAGTTTTACTTATTCCTTACCAATTTGGATGCCTTTGATTTCCCTTTCTTGCCTTATTGCCCTAGCAATAAGGACTTCCAATACAATGTTGAATAGAAGTAATGACAGAAGGCATCCTTGTCTGGTTCCTGTTCACAAGGGGAATGATTTCAATCTCTCTCCATTGTGAATAATGTTTGTTGTTGGTTTTGCACATATGCCCTTTATTATGTTGAGGAATGTCCCTTCTATTCCTATTTTGCTGAGAGTTTTGATCAGGAATGGCTATTGGATTTTATCAAATGCCTTTTCTGCATTGATTGATATGATCATGTGGTTCTTTTCCTTTGTTTTATTTATGTGATAGATGATGTTGATTGTTTTTCTAATGTTGAACCATTCTTGAATACCTGGTATGAACCTCACTTGGTCATAATGTATTATTTTTTTTGATATGTTGTTTGAGTCTGTTTGGTAGAACTTTGTTGAAGATATTTGCATCTATATTAATGAGGGATATTGGTTTGTAGTATTCCTTTTAAGTGATGCTTTTGACTGGTTATGGTATCAGGATTATGCTTGCTTCATAAAATGAATTTGGGAGGATTCCATCCTTTTCTATGCTTTGGAATAGTTTGGGTAGGATTGGTGACAGTTCTTCTCTGAACATTCAGTAGAATTCTCCAGTGAAACCTTCTGGTCCAGGGCTTTATTTTCATGTTTTTTTTTTCTTTTGTTTTTTTAATGACCTATTCTATTTCTTCTTTTGTTATGGTCTGTTCAACTTTTCCACCTCAGTTTGTGTTAGTTCTAGATTTGCAAATTTGTTGGAATATAGTTCTTCATAATATCCTGATATTATCACTTTAATTTCTGTTGGTTCTGTTATGATATCACTGAATTACCTTCTTATTTATGTTATTTGTGTTCTCTCTCTCTTTTCCTTTGTTAAATTTGCCAGTGGTTTGCCAATATTATTCATCTTTTCTGAAACCCAAATTCCAGGTTTTTTTTTTTTTTTTT